TGGCTGGAGAAACGGGACTTGATTTTGATCTAAAGATGTTTTCATGTTTTTATAAAAGGATTACAGTATGATCATAGAATGTTAAAAGACATGTTGTAGGGGGCTGACCCAGTAAATCTGATGTGTGTGATGATTGATATGTGTAGTTTTAGTTTAAAATCTTAATTTAAAAAAAAATTTAAAAAAGGAAAGGTGGAATCTGCCTCGGATTCGTCAGAATCGGCCTCGTAGTGGCACGGGCCAGACGAAGAGCTCCCCAGTGATGTGGGGTGTCGCGGCTCCGGGTGTCTCGATGTAGACGGGGCTTCTCTGTGGACCGAAGGTGAGGCACGGTCCCGTGGTTGTGGGTAGAAGCCAAAGGAATGGTACGCCCCCCAACCCGATGGGTAGGTTTCATAGTAGGGTTGGTTCCATTCCTCACTACATTGTACAGCTGAGCGACTTCGGTATCGCGGTGGAGAGGCGGGAGATTCAGCCCTTGGCCTAGACGGCGGCATAGGCGTAGGTGAGCGAGCTGTAGGAGGAGAATCCTGGATTTCTCTGTCTGAGATGGACTCGTGCATCGACGGGGCTGACGAGCCCGAGTTGCGGTGCTTTTTCGACTTATGAGCTGGTCTGCCCACCTTCTCCTCCTTAGCCTTCATATGGCTAGAGGACTGATCTGAGCCGCCATGCTTTCTCTTCTCCCATTGTTTTCGCGGGAGAGAAGGAAGTCGTTGGTCTCCTGATGCCGGGGTTCCATCATCCGATGGGCGCGGCTGAGGCATAGCCGGTGCGGCGGCAGGGCATTGGCCAAGCGTGGCTGAAGCAGAAGCCAGACACTGCACAGGGACGGCCGAGGCAGAGGCCGGGCATTGACCGGGCACGGCCGAGGCAGGGCCGGATTTTTCAGCCAGTTGGTCCGACTGCATCAAGGCCTGGTTCCAAAGAAGTTCACACAGGCGATTCTCCCTGTTCTTACACGCCTGCTTCGCCATTGTAGAAAAAGGAAGAAATAGGAGATAGTAAAGAGGGATAAGATAGTATTTTTGGGGTTGTTTTTTTTTAAGCAAAGAACAAGAAAAAGGTAATATAACAAGGGAGAAAAAACATGGAGTAATAACAATCAACAGTATAAGAATAAGAACAATAAGAACAATAAGAACAAGAGCATGATAGTCAAAGCGAGAGCCGAACAGGCACAAGCGAACGGCGGTTGAAAAAGACTGAATAAAATGGCAGACACTTCGTTCTATATATAGTACTGAGTGGGAGGGGAGCGGAGTTTCCCGCCAAAAACCATTAGCTTTCTAATCTTTCTGGTCTTAGGCACTGCGCAGGCGCAGCCCCCATATGTGTGATGCACAGAGGCCACGACAAAGAACATGTGTACACTTAGGCCAAATGCGTACTAGAGCTCAGCATAGGCATTGTGAGATTGGTATCATACATGGATTCCAACTCAGACAACTCCCCAGTGTAGTATAAGTAAGATGATCATCTTAACAGTAAAAGCTCTACATATTAAACATCTGGTGATGAAATCAGTGATGCTGTCTATTCATTATAATTTTTATTATACAAATTATACCCAAAGGTATCTAGCTATGCAACTATCAGCAAGTATTACAGTCTGATACTAAACAGATTTACTTGGACGAAAGTCACACTGAGTTCAATGAGACTCTTTGTAAATATGCTCAGAACTACAACCTAATCATATTTCACAACAGTTATTTATTTTTATAACAAGCCATTTTATTGGACTACTGGAAGTAAAAGTAAAATGAGGGTAATTCAGTAGATAGGCCAGAGTACTCATAAAATAAAAATAGCAGTGTTCCATAGCCAGACCTGCAAACATGTTTCATTAAACTACTCAAGAAGAGAAATGTGCATGGTATAGTTCAGGGGTCGGCAACCCGCGGCTCCGGAGCCACATGTGGCTCTTGAATCCCTCTGCTGCAGCTTTGTCGCTCACAGCCCCCGATCTGCGACCCGTGCCGGCACAGCACAGCCGCCAATCTGTGACACGCGCCAGCACAGCACAGCCGCCCATCTGTGACATGCGCTGGCACAGCACAGCCCCCGATCTGCCACCAGCACCGGCACAGCACAGCCCCTGAGCTGCCACCAGCGCCGGCACAGCACAGCTCCCGATCTGTTCCATAAACTATAGTTTTTTTATACATAGTATAAAGGTAAAAAATGATATATGCAGTGTTATTTTCATTTTAGAGGTCAAAAGAGTTTTGTGGCTCCCAGTGTTTTCTGTGGGAAACAGGTCCAAATGGCTCTTTGAGTGTTAAAGGTTGCCGACCCCTGGTATAGTTCTTAAATTTAACAAATGATACTACTTGTTACAAATAGCAGCAAACCTTGCCTAGTAATATAAGCGACATTTAGATTTCCGGTTTTGATTTTTCATTCTCTATCCAAAAACATACATGCACTTAACCTTTTACTAAATGTTTCCCAGTTGCTGAATTTAATTTAAACATTTAATTTGCTAATATAAAAATGTCAGTTCCCCAAACATTTATATCTATTTGACTAGATACACATTTTGCTTAACCTCCCATACCCTTATAATTCTATAAAAGACTAAAAAGCAAAAATGGACAATGTCCAGAGAAAGGCAAATGATGCTGTCAGGAGTTGTGAGAAGCAAGAAGACAATCCACTCCTTAGAATCAATCTGATTCCTTGCCTTTGTTTTAAAGAGACAATCCAGACTGTGCATATAGAGATCCACATAGATAGAAAAATTGGGTTTCTTCTGACATCGCTAAACTTTAATTCCCACTGTCCCTCATTGCTGGCCATGTTGCTTAGGGTTGATGGAGTTGCAATCCAAAATCAGAGGGCCACAAATTCACAGCCTATATCAGTGATGGCGAACCTTTTAGAGACCGAGTGCCCAAACTGCAAGTCAAAACCCACTTATCCCAAAGTGCCAACACTACAATAAAACCTGAAAACTGAGGTTTTAGTTTAGAAAAAGCACCTCACAGCCAGTCCAAGAAAAAAAAAATTCCTTGGCAGCACACTGACCAGCCGTGCGAAAGTTTGGGTGAATCAGGGCTAATGAGTCGTCGCTCATGATGCCATTGCCTGGTGCCACTACTCCTTCCTGAGTATGTGCATGGCCCCTATGTGCGCTGTTATCCGATGTTCGGCTGCTGGGATGATGCTGGGGCGACTTGGCTCGCATGCTGACAGAGAGGGCTCTGCATGCTCACTGCAGCACACGTGCCATAGGTTCACTGCCACTGGCCTAACCCTACCCTGGTGCACACCCCTAAACCTAATATAGGGCTAAAATTCCATTAAAAAGAGGGCAATTTTGAAAAAGCCTTCCTTGAGTAGCTTTTTCTGCACAGCTCATAATTTCTGCCCTTTCTAAACACATTCTAACCATCAAAATCATACCTGGTCACCTTGCTTTTCCAACCCTAACGCAGTGATGGTGAACCTTTTAGAGAATGAGTGCCCAAACTGCAAGCGAAAACCCACTTATTTATCGCAACACTACAATAAAACCTGAATACTGAGGTTTTAGTTTAGAAAAAGCACCTCACAGCCAGTCCAAGAATGTATGAATGTCTATCTGTCTGTCTGTCTGTCTGTCTGTCCATGGCAGCGAACTGACTGGCCATGCAAAAGCTCGAACAGTCATGGCTAATGAATCGTGGCTTGTGATGTCATTGCCTGGTGCCACTACTCCTTTCCGAGCATGTGCATGCCACCTATGTGCGCTGTTATCCAATGCTCGGCTGCTGGGGCGATGCTGGGGCGACTCAGATCGCGTGCTGACAGAGAGAGTTCTGTGTGCCCGCTGTGGCACACATGTCATAGGTTCACCACCACTGGCCTATATGATAAGACATAACAGAACCCTGGCCCCACCCCTAAGTGCATACATTCAGTATGCCAGCCTTGGAGGCCTGTGAACACTCCTGTATCTAGATCCAGTCCTTCCTTCCCTATTCAGCCAAGGAGTATGAGCACTGAACTTGAGGAAATAGGTGAACAGAAATACAGAAGAGGCTCACAGGCTTCTGTCGTGCCTGTGTGCTCAGAAGAGTCCCTTATGCGTGCACAAGGGGAGGAAACCTCTCAATGAGAACCAGAGCGTCAGTGAAGATGTATTTTTGTTTCAGCAGAACAAACGTTCCTCCCCACTCTCACAGATGGTGAGAGAGCCAGATAGTGAGGTACTGAAAGAACACAAAACAGAGGAGCAGGAGCAGGGCGAATTGGGGGTAAACAGGGGAACGAACTCTCAATCTTCTGATATAGAGTGTGAGAACCAAACTGATAAGGAGCAAGCGGGATTTGAGGATGCTCGTTCTCGCAGGCGCACACGCAGACTGGGACAGCTGGAATCCTGATTGACTGAACTACGACAAGAGAGAGTTCACAGTGCTCCGCCTCCAAGGGTGCGACTGTGGAGGGTTCATAAGCAAAGTGCTGGCTAAAGTTTGTCAGTGTGCAGGGTCAACTTTCTATCCTGTTTCAATTTCGGATGTATAGCTGTTTAGAATAAAGACGTTTGTAGCATCTGGTGGAGTGACTGCTTTCATTAGGAAGAAGTGGCAGCCTCATGACAGCTTCCTGTTAAGTGGTACAGCCTAGTGTGGTGACAAAGTGCACAGCAAGAAAAGGAAATACGCAACTTTGCCATATCCTATGACAATCTTGCCACTGTGCCCATGGTGGACTGGAGAGAGATCATGGTGTTTAATAGTAGGAAAGGGCCCTTACATTCCTACAGCAATTCCTACCCACTCAAAATTACGGAAGGATGATGCAACGGAAAGAGAGCTAACCAGAAAAGCTATCATGGTATCTGTTGCATATTTCTGTATGACCATGTGAAACTCTGTAATTTAAGTATAACAATCATTAAATAGTCTCCAGCTTGAACATCCAGAAGTATTTTAAATGTTTATTTGCACATATCTGAGATACAAATGTTTTTATGTAGATTTTGATTTTAAAATATGATAAATTATTACCTCTAGTCACAGGAATGTGAATGTTGCTTCCAGACTCTAAGCTTTGTAAGGTGGCTTGCAATCCTGTAATCTAAACAATGGTGGGGGAAAGAAACATAAAGTTATTTCATTTCTTACCAAAAGAATGAAAAATTACACACACACATTAAAATAATCTGAGTGTGCTAAGAATCTGAAAGCTGGCATTAAGTAACACAGATTAGTTACTGTTCAACATTCATTAATAACTTTTTCCATACATTCAGTAAGGGTAATTACAGAACAGTAAACAATTTTTCCTCTCTCTTAGGACCACCTTATATAGCAAGACAGAAAACGTTAAGTTTCTCTGCCTGCCCGCCCATCTACCTACTCCACTTTATTTGTTGATGTGTTAAAAGTAGGCACCCATGCCAAAAAATGTGCATAGAGTGGCAAAGAAGATGTGTGGATCCTACCCTCAAAATGACACTGGAAGTAATTTTTAGGGTTGCATATCACTGCATGGGGACACGGATGGTGCAGTGGTGTAAACTGCTGAGCCGCTGAGCTTGACAATCAAAAGGTCAGCAGTTTGAATCTGCACAACGGGGTGAGTGCCCGCTGCTTTGTCCCAGCTCCTGCCAACCTAAGCAGTTCGAAAGCATGCAAGTGCGAGTAGATAAACAGGTACCACTTCAGTGGGAAGGTAACAGTGTTCTGTGTGCTTCAGTGTTTAGTCATGCTGGCCACATGACCATGGAAACTGTCTGCCTGTCTACGGACAAGTGCTGGCTCCCCCTCAGAGAAAAAGAGATGAGCACCACCCCCTAACGTTGGACATAACTGGACTTATTGTCATGGGGAAACCTTTACCTTTATCACCGCATGAGTTAAATTACTTTCAGGAAAAGAACTGCCTCAGTTCTAAAAGTAATGAACTACCGTGGATGAAAATTATTGCAAGGAGCTCTGCTATCAAACATTAAATGGCAGCGGAAATCTGTCTTTGACAGATGAAGAGCCATAACGGATCAAGTTACAAAAACACCCTAAATTATGGCAAGAATATGACTTCAGATTTCCTTGTTGTAGTAAACAATTAATATAACATTATACATGTCCTGGCAAACAGCCAGTATGTGGAAAGCATCTATCTGTGGAAACATCAGGCATGTACACATCAACAGTATGACTAGCATGATGAAGGGTGCAACAGAGTTCAAGAAAATATACCAGTAGCAGAGGCTGCTTTATATACTTGCCAGTGGCTCTTAAATGTGTGGTCCCTTACAAATGGGCCAACCTGAGCAGAAATTGGATGGGGTTGTATTAGGACATATGTCTGAGTATGCTCCAGTCCAAATTCCCAAGATCCTCCTCAAAAATCTCATATTAAAAGGGCCCAAAGTTCGACAGCCAGCTGTCAAAAAAGCTTCTTCCAGCCCCTCGAAGATCATGGGGAAAGTGCCAAAGTTGCTCCCCCATGGGCATTAAAGGGGAAATTGAAAAGTGGGGGATCTTGCTGGGAAAGTGAGAAACACCCAAACTATCCCCTTCTCAGTACAAGATCCCTCATGGTTTTGGTGTCTCTTGACAGATCTGCATGCCCCCAACATGTCAAGAAAATGAAGCAAGGGAGGCAGGGTTCAAGTATCTGCTTGGGACTTTGCTGGAAATGTAACTACTGCTCCTGGGTAGCAAAACTCACTGGAATCGGGCCCAATTAGAGGCTTGGAATGCTTCCCTTAGTACTATCTTGAAGGAGCAATGAAGCTAAAAATTAAAAAGTTAATTTCTGTGCATTAATTTTTGGATGCACAACAATAAAAAAAGAAAAAATACTTGGCAATCCCCAGTACCTCCTCCAAGCTGCTACTGTGGCACTTTGAAGGGAAAGCTAGTGGCTGTCAAGCTGCTTATACTGGGGGTGTGGGGGATCCACTTCATAATGAGAACCAGCACCAGCCACCCACAGGTGCTACCCAGGCACTTGTGTGGTAGCTGACCCTAGAAGTTGCCAGGACTAGTTCAGAAAATGTCCTGGCATTTCAGATGGCATGACAACCCACCATGGGCAAAACAAAACCTACAAACATTCACAGATTCTCATCATGAGTAGTTTGGAAAACTACTTGTGTTGGATAATGCACAATGTGTTTGCATGACAGCCAGTCATTGACTATTATCACTGGATGGCTGCAACATGATTGGCTGTCATGTTGTACAAGCCCAGTGACTATTTTGATACATATCACCAATGCAAGTATTTGATACTTCCCCCACATCATCTGTTCAGGTGATAGATGAGAAAAATCACTGCAGAGTTGAAAGTACTTAGAAGGGGAACTGGGAAAAAAGTTGGGGATGGACAGGAAAATTATCAAAAACTATTACAAAACGGCTTCTTCTCCTTCAGCTTGGAGATTAGAAGCCACCTAACAAATTCCAACCAGAGACAGGAGCAGCATAGGCTGCCTGGCTTAGATTTGTTCTCAGAGATTCACATGGCCAGGCAGCACACTGGAATGCCTTCTTTATGTAAACTCTATTTTGCTGCCCAGCATGAGATTCCTTTTCAAAATACTGACAGGACTGCTGTTAGCATCCATAGCCAGGAATGTACAGACAGAATGCTGGAGGCAAACTCTTATTTCTTTAATGTTTGTTTAATTGGGAAGTTGAGAAAAGTAGCTTCTGTAATCAATACTGTACACATTCAGCATGAGTCAATGGCATTTCTCTATGTTTGACCAAACCCAAGTTAAAGGCAGAAAATAAACTGAGTAACTTTTACACTGTCAGGATTTTACTGATTTATGAAACCACTACCTCAAACTGGAATTACTGTGATGACACAGTCCAGGTACTAAGGGCCTCAAAGGCTCCAGCTATAGAGAACAAAACCTATTACTATGCCATGGATGCACATATGTTGACATATGTGAAATACATATTTAATCTAGAAGGTAATGGTGATGAAACAATACAAAGCCTAGGTGGTGATGCTGATGAATTTGGGTTCATATGCTTTTAGGGTCTCCCTACACAACAGACATACAACATAGATGGTGTAAAAACAACAACAGTAACAACAGTGATTTGATGAATTCAGAATAACATCTATAGAAGCCACAGAACCTCATAGCAGCAACATACCTCTGGTCTCCTTGAAAACAAAAATATGGCAACAGATAATCTAACAGTTTCATAACTTCTGACTTATGATGGCTAACGATTAAGGAATACGAATTGCACTTTGCAATATGAAAGAATTATTAATGAGAGCACTCTCCCATTTCATCATCCACTAAGAAAATCATAACTCAAAAATTTTGGTTTGTTATACATCTTTAATGTTACCAAACCAGCAGAAAATAAAGAAAATTACCAAAGCCAAGGGTAAGCTCAGTTTACTTAACGCAGTAAGTACTGGCCCAGTTATACAGATGTGTGTTGTACTAATGCATGGAACTGGACTGAGGAACAGTCAGTCAAAGATGGCTCTTATCCATATTGCCACCGCTAGAGTGGTTACTACACATGGAATGATTATTACATATGATGCTCCACAATGAGATCCAAAAACACAATGAGATCCAAAATCATATAATCAACAGTCTGACTAACTGAAGTCATAGGGAAGACACAATGGTGCTATAATAATGGTGATTATACTGATGTATTCCTCCACTCTGTGGTATGAAACTTTGATGATTATATAACAGAGGACATAGAACATTTTGTACTTACACTGGCATCCATTATACAAAAAATGCCACATAATTTAAGTGAACCTTACTTATATTTAAGTAAATATTGACTTGGTTTCCTTCTACCAGGAAAAACAGCACTCAAGGTGGCTTACAGTCATAACTAAAACATGATTAAAACAATGTAACATTCAAGCATTAAAACACAAAAACAACATACAAAGAGCACCCAAGCCAACATATTTGCTTATCTGCTAACAGTCTACTGAAATGAACAGGTTTTTGTCTTCTGCCAGAAAGGGAAGAAAGGACGTGAACCTAGCCTCTTGTCAGGGATTTCCACAGAACAGCCACTGAGAAGGCCCTTTCTCACAATATCACCAAACTTGTCATAAGCCTAGCATCTTAAGGCATGCTGAGATCTAATGATTTAACTTCAATAGTACAGAGCAGGTGATCCAAATCACTCTTCAGAGACCACAGCATTTAACCTTAGAAGTTATAAATTAATTTATTCAAAAGCTAATGGCACACGGCTCCAGTTAAGCAATAGCATAGAAGGAAGTACATAGTCACAGAGGCATACTCTTAAAACAGTAACAGTTCCAAGCACTGAGAGTTATAACTAGAACCTCAGACATTATACAGATGTTCCCTACATGCAAGAGTCCTCAACTGACTTCTGTTTAGGGTACAAAAACAGTTGTAGCTAGGCAGTATGCCCATTGATTGAAATATCTCTTTTTACAAGATTGCTACATGGCAGGTGCCCAAGCTAAGGCCAGGATTCACAAATAAAGTAGGCCAGAAAACACTTGACTAAACACAGATATTCCCAGATTCAGAGTTGCTCAACTGATTCAGGTTTAGTCTACAGAATAGGATAAGGCAGGTAAAATGCTCCCAGTGTCACAGGTGGTAAAACATGGCAAGGAGTCAGTTTTCATCTTACAAGATCTTCTGGAAACACAAACAAATCAGAAACAAAGTGGTTAGCATGAAAAGATTAGTACAGGTGAGGAAGGGTTATAGGCAGCAAAAGATGTAAATACCAGCCAAACGATCGTAAGATATGACGACATTTTGGATAATGATGTAGGATTGAAGTTGAATCAAGAAATACAAGAACAAGGATCTAATATTTCTTGGTGGCATAAGGTGCAGATACGATCGAGATATGCTAAAGACTACAGAATGTGGGGCTTTTATAAGGATTTAACAGCATTTGATCAGGTGATGCTTAAATCAAATGAGAAAATGATTAAAAGACTATAATAATTTCTTACTAGATAGGAGAATGGAAGATGAACAGGCTAAGGAAACTATGATAATGTGGGCACAAAACTTTGGATATAATATTGAATTAGAAAAATGGGAAAAGCTGTGAGAGAGAAATATTAAGGTAACATTAGCAACTTCATATAAAGAAAACTTGTATAAAATGTTTTATAGATGGTATTTGTCGCCAAATAGACTAGCCAGATGTTTCCAAATATGTCAAATGGATGTTGAAAATGTAAACATAAATTGGGTACTTTCTATCATATGTGGTGGACTTGCAATAAAGCGAAAAAGTATTGGATAAAAATACATAAATGGCTTGAGGAAATGTTACAAAAATCCTTAGCTTTTAAACCTGAAGTTTTCTTATTAGGCATTATACCTGTTGATATTAGTAAACAAGAAACATACTTGATTTTACATGTAATTACTGTGGCAAGGATTGCATTTGCCCAACACTGGAAGAGTGAAGAACCACCCACCAATGAACTGATCCTAAAAAGATCTTGGACTGTGCAGAAATGGACAGATTGACTTTGAAATTGAAGGAGAAAGAAGATACTGATTTCTATCAAACTGGGACTCTTTTTATTATTGGCTAGAGAAACAGGGCTTTGTATAGATTCAAATATGTTTTTAAGTTAACATAAAAAGAAAAAATGTGGGGGCTGACCCAGCAGGTCCGATGTTTCTGATGATTGATGTTGTTTTTAGTTTTTCTTTGTATTAGGGTTATTTAGAATAAAACTTATTAAAAAAAGATGTAAATACCAGCCAAAATGCAACACAACAAGATATACCCTTTCAAAAAAACGTTTTGAAATGTACTTACTGCATCTATGTACTTACTGCATGTTACATAATAATTTCCTTATACTCTTTACAAGCAGTTGTTGACATACTGTAAGCTTCGTACACATTATAGAACATGATTGTTCACACACAATCCATATTTCTGTTTATTCATTTGTAACCTATTTATACTTTTTTTTTGTCCTGTGTCTTTCATCCTGCACTTGCCTTAAGAGAAATTGTCATGTCTCCAATTTATGGTAAAAATGTCATAAGTAACAGTCCAATTTGGATATTGAATCAAATTAAAGGAGATGGCTAACAATTATATAAGGTATTTGAAATAGCTATGTGGCAGGATTAAAATGGTACACCATTCTAAAGCCATTTTAAGTCATTGAGTTCCAGGGATTTTCCCCTTTCTTTTATCCAATGCAGGTTATTACTACTATTGCTTATTTGGTATCTCAGTTCCTCATCTTCCTTTTGGTGTAAAGTATGTTCAGATCAGCTCATTATTTTCAGAGCTTTCCCCAAAAAGTAGCCCTAGACAGTTCATGAAATGCTGTATTATCTTGAAAATGACCCTCAGGTTCATTTTGGAGAGCAACATCCACACAGATCTTTTTGTTCACCCTATGTAAAACTGATCTGACATGGATGTCTGCTTTCATCATGCCAACGCTAGTAATCTCATTTTCCAAACTATTTTCTGGATTTTGGTTGGCTTACTCAAGACTTGTTTTAAGTTCAAGCCTCTACAAAACAAATGCTTTAAGTTTAAAGAAAAGTTTTAAGTTCAAGCCTCTACAAAACAGACTGGCTGGAAAAATTTACAAGCTGACAAATGGAAAGCGAGTGGCTTATATTATGATTTTAGCTGCAATGCTGAGGCCAAAGGACTACCATTTGCCCTATATGGAACTTCAGACAGTAACTTCCAGGAAGATTTGTTTCTGTTTATATAAAGCATCTCCCAGAATATAGGATAGTCCTTGTGAATTTGTGTCCTGTCAGGTTCAGAAGAAACCATGTGTGAAAAAAATGGAGCTTTATCCTTGCACAGAAATTACCAGCGTTGGAGACTCAAGTTGAGCAACTCACTCCCAAGTCTGACTCAAGTTGCGTCAGCAGCTCAACTCGGATTTGATTTAACCCGAGATTTCTACTGTTTTTACCACAGAGTTGCTCCAGGACTTACCACCTGTATGTGACATGTGGCAGTATATCCTGAGCAATCTCAGCAGAAGGCATCTGGTACAGAATATACATCTGAGTAATTATAATCTACTTTAAAGGATCAATAGTGTCCATGAATCCTTAGACTAAATGTGACAAATGTTTTACCTGCCCAACAACTCGATCTCTTTCCAAGCTTGTAAGCATTTTTTCTCTTAGCAGAATCTCATATTTTTCATGTAGCTGCCTTAACATTGGTTCATATGATGCATAATGTGTCTTCAGCCTATAAACAATAAAGTAATTTTTAAAAATGTATAACAGACACTACACAGAAAAATATTCTTTATCATTTAACTTTGCTGTAGAAGAATATGTACTAAAAATCACCAAGCCATTTCAAAATTATCTGCCAAAATGTTTTTTTAATGTAATTTTGCTACTCAGAGCACACTGAAGAAATTACATGTGTTAGCCCGTATTCTTCTTGGCTTCCATTTTTGCACACTATTTGCACATGTAATCACAGGGAAAGGGAAGTATGGTGCTAGCCTTCTCCTGTTCTAGATCTTTCTCCACCCAAAAGGTTTTGCATTGTCCCCCCATGCACTCTGATCTAGTGCCACCGCCATTTACCATGAAGTTGTTCTGTAATAAGACATGTATAATCCATGATGTAATTGTGGATGAGGGGGCAGACCTGGAATTTATTACAGAAATCAGAACAAATTTGCTGGGAGGAATTGACCTGTGTTAATTTGTTGAACTGGATATATCATGCAGCATTAACATTGGCTTGAGGGTAGGAAGGTGGGATTACTGTCAGCTATGCGGCTGTGTGTTAACACTCATATACCAAGGCTCCCTTTTGGAGGCCCAGCTCAGGAACTCATGGCTATCATGTCACCAATGGACTGTCTTAACACATCACCTGTTCTACACATTCTCTGCAGAACAAACAGCACAGTAAGCTGGGGGTCAGGTAAAACCAGATGTACTTGGTAAGACAGTCTATCTTGGTGTAACTGTTTTTGTTGGAAGGCTTTTCTCCATTACTCTACTCTAATATGAATCAGCTGTATACTGCCATGAATTCCAGCATGATAAAGAACAGTATCTAAATGTGTTACATAAATAGGAAAAAATAAAGAAAATCCTATGATTAAACAACTAAGCAAATCTTAATCTAAGTAGATCAATTAGGATTTGTATCGCTAATATTAAATTCCCTAAAATTGGAACCTAACATTGGAATATTCCATCACATTAACTAGACACTCAGGCTTCTGCATAGAGCAATATTCAAAACCACCTAGAGCAAGGGTACAGGCACCAGTGCTCTCATGGACATCTTTCTTAGCAGCTACCATATTACCCTACATCATTCAATTTTAATTTAAAACACATTTTCTTCCCAGCAGCTCAGATTACTGTAAATAGGTATCTTTGGCATTGAAAACTGTGGATTCAAAGGAGTTGTTTAGTGGGCTGGACTCAGATCCTGCCTCTGCTTTATAATAAGTCATCTGTGTAGGTTAAATGTCTTTTGCCATACCTACCATGGCAACCATTTCATAGATGACAGGGCAGTTTCTTAGACTGTCAAAGGTGTATATTGTCTGGGAAGAAAAGTGATTGGATGTAATAATAGACTTTTCCAAGACAATTATACAATAATGTGGACAAAGATCAAAAAAGACCTACAGAGATGGTCCAAATTAATAATGTCTTGGCTGAGAGAATTTCTACTATAAAAATGAAAGATTTCAGTTTTCTACCAAAATTGAACTTTTTATTTCAGACAATACCAATTTTCATAGAGGGAAAACCCCTTTATCTGAAATGGGAAAACAAGGATTAGATTTAAAGTACTACAAGATGCAAAAGAAAGAGAATGTCTAGCATTACCAAATATCAAATTATACTACTATGAGGCTGGATTGGGTTTTGATTACAGACTGGATTAAAAGTCCTGATGAAAGGCTAACAAAGCTGGAAATAGCAGATGTAGAGTAAGAAATATGTAAGTACCTGTGGCCCAAGAACGCAATTAAAAAGATCCAACACAAAATGAAAATCATGTAATTAGAGATGATTATATTTGAAAAGAACTTGGAATACTTTAAGAAGAAGGCTTAAGCCCTCAAATATCTCCTTTGATCTCTCCAATAGAAGCATGCTGTGACAAACATTTAAGGAAAAAAATGTTTTCATAACAGACGGAGATATGATGGGTCAACAACAAAGAAACAAATCTTGGTAACAATTAATAGATGAAGGAAAAGAAGATAGAATAGCTTCTTTATTTCCAGCTGGTCTCAAGAGTGAGAAAGGAAATTCAACAAAGAAGAGGTACTATAAGAGATCTGACGGAATTTGAAAGGCTGATTTGAAACTGAACAAATTAAAACATTGTATGATAACTTGGATGCAAGCTTTGGAGAAGAAACATCCTTCCATCAATGGGGAACTTTATGGATGAAAGGAATAAATTGTACAGTTAGCTAAATATTAAAAGAGAATTGGTATAAATGTTCTTTTGTTGGTATATTACTCCCAGAGATATTCAAAAATGGAAAAGAATTATAATGGAATGTGTTGGAAATGTAAAGATGTGGAAGGGACTTTTAACATATGCGGTGGATGTGTAATAAGGTTAAAAGATTTTGGAAATGAAAACATACAGAGATACAGAAAATTTTGAAAATTAACTTCCCAATGAATGCTAAGAATATGTTATTAAGTATCCTACCAGAAACTCTTCAGCTGCCAGAGTTACAATTGCAATAAAATGGAAAACAGAAGACTGTCCAACCAGTGAAGATTGGAAAAACAAGCAAATTAACCAACTATGTAAATAGAAGACCAGTCCAATGGGATAAATGGAAAGTTTATTATGGATATGCTACTTAATAAGTGAGACAAAAACAGAGATTAAGTAAACTGACACATTCTTTAATAAGTCACAAAAAGGAAATCTGGTTAATGAATTTAGTTACAATTGGAAAGCTTATTAATTTTAATTTTATTTCTAATTATTTGCAATTGAGAGAAAAAAAGAATCTTTGAATATATTGTTTTCTGAAATAAGGGGAGGAGGAGAAGGGGAAATGGGTGGAAAGGGAGACGAAGGGAGATTCTAATTTGGTATTGGATATGCTCTGGGACAAATCACAGCTTGCTTGTTGTCTATGGGAAAGCAATTTTCATTGTGAAATTATTAGCCTTATTTGGCTACTTATTAATGTAATTGAGTATTATCTGTTACTATGTGTTATCAAGTAAAATTCTAGTCATGAGTTTAGAAAAACCAATGTTTACTGATGATTCCTTGTGGAACTTCTTGTATCTGGTTTTATGAACAATTCTGGAACATGGTCCCTTGGCAACTTTTTCTTTTGATGTGTTTGTTTTTCTTTCTGCTTCTTATTATTTACCAAAATAAAAAAGAAAGAAATGTGTATATTGTCTGAAAATAGCTGTCTTCTTTTCTAAAGCTACACTCAAAAACACATAGCAACATCTTCCCACTCAACTGCTAATGGGCTACCACAGCAGATCAAAAGGAAGGCTGAATGAAAGCAGCTCAGAAGAGTCACCTGTAATGGGGCAGGAAGATGGATTTAGTGCATGCACAGAAGACAGTTGCTTATCCTTAACTGATAGTTAATTGATCAGTCATCTGTGCATTCATGCATATGGGAACTGTGTCTTTAGGGCATTTCATTTCAGGCAACTTCTAGAGCTGATAAGTTTTTGGCAGGAGCTCCCAGGAACCATCTTAGTGGACTTGTCCTTAGTGGGTTCCCACCTATTCCCCCAGTTTCTTGGGAGCACTTACTGTGGACTCAGAACCAAAAGCAACCTTGGTATCAACACAGATACAGAAACACAAAAAAGTCTTCCCCTTCCCTTTGAAGTAGTAATACCTTCAAACTTGACAGTGATACTGAAGTGGTGACAGTGGCACTTTGTGTAAATACACAGATGACAACTTGAAGAAGTGTGGTTACAGGTAAGCAAACAGTCCTCCTTCTTTGTGGACTCTGTGCACCACACATAGAGGTGATTTAATATGCTGACTTACCAGAATTGGATTGGTGACATTGTGTAGCACTGGAGAAAGCACTGCTCTGTTGAAGGAACAATCAGTCTAGAGATGGCGGGCCAAGTCTATCATGACATAAAAAGATGTATATTCTTGTTCAATTTGCTGACCAGCTTAATTCTGGTAATGTGCTCTTGGAAGTTGTGAAATTTCTAGCACAGCCACTTGATACATGATAGTTTGAACTATACAGATACAGGACATTGGGAAGAGAGGGGAATCCTTTATTTTATCTTCACAGCACAAGAAAAGTCTCCATGATGTATGCAATTTATAAAATGTATAAACCTAAATTCCTACAAGGATTCACGAGATGAAAACAAAGTAGGTAAGATAATATCCTAGTGGATTTGGAAATCAGACCATCATTAAGGAAAAGATAAGGTTGAAGCACCACCTTGTCTTTACAGAACACCATATACCAAAGGTCTATTTGAAGTACACTAGCTTTATGAGTAGATAGAAAAGCCACAAGAAAGGCCAGCTTCCAGGTTAATAAACAGAGGTAAACAATAGCCAGTGGCTCAAACGGCTTTGCTATCAGAAAATGTAAGACAACAGACAGCCTGCACAGTGGTACAGGAGGCCACACTGGAAGTGTAGTATTTCTGACTAATTGGAGACATTGATGAAACAAAGGATAAGAGAAAATAGAAAAACCTTGCAACATGAGATGATGCACAGGGATCAGTAGATAAATTTGAAAGGATGAGGACGAGCAGGAACTGATGTGTTTAGTGGACTGGGCACCAAACAGGGACAAACTGTTCCATGCTGCAAGTCTTCCACTTCCTATCATAAGACAGCCTGCCTACTAGTTTCCATGCCATCTTCAGAAAAGTGTTGGCCATCAGTCGATCCAGGAGACAGATTCTCCAGAACATCAGCCATACAGTCAGCATATCAGGATGTCATATTTTGAGTTGATCCCAAGAAATGATGTCCAGTTTCAATGGTGCATATTGGAAGTTCTGACTGGAGATCACAGTCACTGGTTCTGATTGGAGATAACAGTTGCCTCAGCCACTCAAGAGAGTCCCTCCTGTGCCATCCAGCTTCATCTTCATTGATAGAATACTGTTCCAACCCCCAAAAAAGAAAACCCAGGGAATTTGAACCTGCTCCAGCTCAAGTGCAGAACTTGGGGCAGACAGCATTTGAACCAAAAAGATCAGCTG